TTTTCAATTAACTTTTTGCAGGATTAGATACAGGGGTCTAGTTTAGCTCGCCTACACAGGCTATCCAGTTTTCCCAGCACCATTTGTTAAAGAGCTTATGTCTTCTCCAGTGTGTTTTTGGCTCCTTCGTCCACAATCAGATGGTTGTAAATTGGATACCTTGATTTCTCTACCCTCTGATCCACTGGTCTGTGTATTTTTGTGCCTGTACCATGCTGTCTTTGTTACTATGGCTTTGTAATATAATTTGAAATCAGGAATTGTGTGATGCCTCTAGCCTTGCTGTTTTTGCTTAGAACTGCTATTCTGTTCTGGTTCTTTGTGCTTCCATATGAATTTCAAGACATGTTTTTCTCCTTTGGTGAAGAATGTCATTGAAATTTTGATGGCGATTGCATTGAATCTGTGGATCACTTTTGGCAATATGGCCATTTTAATTATATTAACTCAGGGTGCTGATTTAACTCAGTGGCAAGTGCAAGGTCCTGACTTTGATTCGTGATACTGGAGAAAACATATATATATTAATTTGGCCAATCCATGAATATGAGAGTTCTTTTCGTCTTCTAGTGTCTTCAGTCTTATTCTTCAGTGTTTTATAATTTTCAGTGTAGAAGTTTTTCACCTCCGTGGTTAGATTTATCCCTTGCATTTTTGGTTGTTTTTGGTTTTTTATATATATATTTTGAATGGATTATTTTCCTGATTTTTTTCTCAGCTAGTTCAGTATTGGTGTATAGAAAAGGTTATGTTGATTTTGTCTCCTACTGCTAAGCTGAATTTATCAAAATTCTTTTGGTAGGGTCTATATGGTTTCTAAATTAAAAGATCATTATCAACTGCAAATAAGAGTAATTTGAATTCTTCCCTTCCCATTTGTGTCCCTTTTATTTATTTCTCTTGCCTAAATGCTCTTGCTAATATTTCAAGTACTATATTGAGTAGGAATGGTGACCTTTGACATCTTGGCCTTGTTCTTAATTTTAGAGGAAAGACTTTTAATTTTTGCCCCACTGACAATAATGTTGGCTGCGGATTTGTTGTGTGTATCCTTTATTATACCTTCAATACCTAGTTTCTTCAGAGCTCTGTCATGAAGGGATGCTGAATCTATTCACATGGTATATTATGTTTACTGATTTGCATGTTGAACACACTTCGATCCCTGTAATGAAACAAATGATTGTGGTGTATAATCTCTTTAATGTACTGTTGAAAAGAATTTTTGCATCTATCTTCATGAAGATTATTGTTGCATCCTTCAGCTTTAGTATCAGTATGTTACTTGGCTCTCAAAATGAATCTCTCTATTCCTTTCCTTTGTATTTCTTGGGAGTATTTTGAAGAGGATTGGTGTTAGTTCTTAACCAGTGAACCTGTCTAGTCCTGGGCTTTTCATGGTTACCAGACTTTTTATTGCTGCTTCAATCTTAATTGCTTGTTATTGATTTATTGATGATTAGTTTCTTTTTTTTTTTGGTACCGGGGATCGAACTTGGGTCCTTGTGCTTGCGCAGCAGGCGGCGAAACCACTGAGCTAAATCCTCGGCCCATGATTAGTTTTTTTATATCCTCTTCATTCAATCTTAGGTTACATATATCTAGAAATGTATCCATTTCTTCCAGATTCTCCAATTTATTTGAGTACAGATTTTCAAAATAGTTCCTGATGATTCTGTGCATTTCAGTGATCCCCGAAGTCATCCTCTTCCACTGAGCACTCAGCTTTGGGAGGGACACACATGGAGCAGTGAGGGAGGAAGAGGATACCCGCCTAGCCAACCAGATCAGCCAAGTCAACCCTGGGGCTGAATGGGGTAACAGATGTTGCAGCCAGATGGCCCTCACATCCTTTTTTGCTTTTTGAAACAAGGTCTACCTATGTAGTCCAGGCTGGCCTTGAACTCGCAGCAATCCTCCTGCCTCAGCCTCCTAAGTGCTGGGGTTATAGGCATGTACCCCCAAACCTAGCTCAGTGATCCTGTTTTTCCTAGTTACATAGATGTGAGCCTTACTGCTCTTTCATTTGGTTAGTTTAGCTAAGGATTTATCACTCTTGTTCATGTTTTCAAACAACAAACTTTTTGTGCCATTGATTCTATATATTTTTCTTTTTATCTCTAGTTCATTATTTTCAGCTATGGTATTTTATTCATTTGCATTTGGTTTTGGTTTTTGTTTTACTAAGTTTTTGAGATATATCATTAGATTATTTGAGATTTCTGACATTTTGTTTTTGCTCCCTACCACCTAGGGATTCAATCCAGAACCTTTGTATGAGCTATAATCAGCATTTTTTTTTCATTCTTTCTTTTTTCTTGAGACAGTGTCTTGCAGAGTTGTCAGGTTGCCCTGGCTATACAGGAACTTCAGATACACCTGCCACAACCTTACAGAGTATTGGGATTAATGGTGAGCACTACCACACTTGGCTTTCTCTACACTCACTTCGGGGAAGTATTACATACATACACAACATTTTGATCATTTTCTGATTTTTTGATATAGGTGCTCATAGCTATAAGATTCCCTCTTAGAACTGCCTTTATGCAGACATTTTGGTATATAGTGTTTCATTTTCATTTGGTTCTAGGAATTTTTTAATTTTCCCCCTGATTTCTTCAGTGATCCAGTGATCATTCAAACTGAATCACTCAATCTCAGTGTTTTTGTGTAGTTTATATAGTTTCTCTTGCTGTTGATTTCTAGTTTCATTCCACTCCGATCAAATAAGACACAAGAAATTACTTCAGTTTTTTAATATTTGTTAAGATATGCTTTATGGCCTAAAATATAATTTATTCTCAAAAACACTTCATGAGCTACTGAAACAATGTAGTTTGTTGAATGGAATGTTCTGTGTACGTGTCTGTTAAGTCCATTTGATTTTTGATATTATTTAACTGACGATTCTTTGTTGATGGGGGGTTGGGATGACGAATCTCTTGGTGAACTCACTACTACTGAATTAGGATTTATGTCCCTTTTTCTATTAAGTAGTATCTTATGAAATTGGGCATAGCAGTGTTCAAAGTATTATGTATTTATACTTGTATCTTCTTGTTGGATAATTGCCTTCAGCAATATGTCATGGTCTTCCTTACCTCTTTTAATTTTATCTTGAAATTTGCTTTGTCAGATTTAACTATTCCTGCTTGATTTGAACTTCCATTTATATAGAATATTATTTTCTGTCCTTTCACTTTGTCCATGTATGTCTTTGCCAGTGAGGTGGGTTTCTTGCAGGCAACAAAGAATTGGGTACTATTTTTCGAACCAGTCTGCCACTGTTTTTTAATTAGAGAATTAAGAACAGTTTCAATCAAAATTATTATAGAAAGGTATGTTCTATTTGCTGTCATTTTGTAGTTTTTCTTTTTTTTGGTACCGGGGATCGAACTCAGGACCTTGCGCTTGCAAGGCAAGCGGCGGAACCACTGAGCTAAATCTCTAGCCCTATTTTGTAGTTTTTCTAGTGTTTGATTCTTTCCTAATTTTCAATAGCTTATCTCTCTTCCTCTTCTACGTGTAGTGTTCTTTTGTTATCTTAAATGCTGGCTTAGTAGTCATTAATTTCTTTTGGTTTTGTTTTGTTTTGTTTTTTGGTACCCAGGATCGAACTCAGGACCTTGCACTTGCAAGGCAGCCGGCAGAACAACTGAGCTAAATCCCCAGCCCTAATTTCTTTATGATTATCTGAAAGGCCTTTATTTCTCCTTTGATTGTGAAGCATAGTTTTGCTAGGTATAGTAATCTAGGTAGCCAGTTATTTTCTTTCAAGGCTTTAAGTACACCACTCTATGTACTTTTGGCCTTTATAGAGTTTCTTCAAAAAAGCCTGCAGTTTTTTATGTGTTGGCCTCTGTGTGTAACTTGGGTGTATCTCTTTTGCAGTTTTCAATATTCTTGTTCTGTATTCTTGACATTTTTACTATAATATCATATGAGGAAGTCCTTTTTCTAGTCATCCCTGTTTGGAGTTCTAAATGCCTTCTGTACCTGGATGGCCACATCTTTCCCAAGATTTGGGAAGTTTTCTGTTGTTATTTCATTAATAGATTTTCTATGCCATTACCCTGAACCTTGGGGGCTTCTTCACCAAAAATTCCTAACTTTTGTCTTTTAACTGTGTCCTAGAGTTCTTGGATATCTTGTTCTTATTTTTTTCTTATAAGTGTTTGAGTGTGATGACTTATCAGCCTTATCTGCAAGTCCTTAAGTGGTACATTCTGTTTTACCCAGTCTGTTGGTGAGGTTTCTTTCACTGAGTTTTTTTACTTAGGTACTTTTCATTTCCAATATTACTATTGGGTTCTTCTCCAGAATCTATCTTTATTGCATTCCTCCTTCATATCCTGCATTTTCTTACTTCAATCACTTATTTATTTGTATCTTTTTCTTTCTTTCTTTTCTCTTTGGTACCTGGGATGGAACTCAGGACCTTGCACTTACCAGGCAGGTGCGGTGCCACTGAGCTACATCCCCGGCCCTATTTGTATCATTTTGAAGTCATTAATCATTTTAGAAATCAGTTCTTTTAATTTTTCTGGCATTTCATCCATGGCAGCGGGGGTGGTGCTGGAGTGTAACCCAGGGCCTTCACACTGAGCTACATCCCCAATCCTTTTTATTGTTTAGTTTGAGACGGGGTCTCACTAAGCTGCTAAGTTGCCCAGGCTGAGTTCAGACTTGGCAGTCCTCCTGCCTTAGTGTCCCTGATTGGTGGGATGACAGACATGTACCACCATGGCCAATTCTACTTTCATATCTTTCCATTCAGGTATTGACAAGTTTAGATACCTTCAGAGAAATCATATGGCCTTGTTTTTTCATACTTCTATTTCTGTGTTGAGACCTATGCATTCGCTGATATGGAGATCTCTTTTGTTTTACATGAAGTTCTAATATCCTCCCTTCTATATTGAGGACTTAATTCCCAGTACCACTCAGACTGGAGAAAACAAACTGTAGTAACAACAATGACACAAAGACAAACCCAGTATTGACATATGGTAAAACAATTAAATGGCAACAGTTATACCATCATTAACAGTAGAACATTAGCTGTCATTGACAATAGGAAAAAAAAAAAAGGGCATAATAATAATATAAAATAAAAGGCTAATAATGTAAACTAAAGGGCTAAAAATTTATACATGTTAAAAGTAACAATAATAAAGGAATAAAAATAGAAGAGGTTGGGAAAGGGAAAATGAAGTAAATTTTTTTAAATTAAAAAGATTTTTAAAAAGCCAATTATAAAATCAAAAAGTAAATAATATTAGATGAGATTAACAGGGGAAATAAAAAAGGGAAAAGAAATGAACTACAAAAACCCAAAACTAGTTCAAAACAATTCCTCCATGCTGCTAGCCCTGTGTTTCTCATAGGAGGGCCCCCACCCCCTCCTTACCTTTCACTTGCGCTCTCAGTGGTCTACTCTTTATCACAGGAAGGCTTTCTCTCAGCTCACCTTTTGCTTGGGCAGTCGGTGGTCCACTCTGCATCACAGGGAGGCCCTCTGCAGGTTCATTTATTACTTGAGACGTTGGTGTTCCACTCTGCATCACAGGGAGGCCCTCTGCAGGCTCACCTTTTGCTTGAGCAGTCTGCGGTCCACTCTGCATCACAGGGAGGCCCTCTCCAAGCTCATCTTTCGCTTGAGCAGTTGGGTTCTCCTCACCCTCACGAGCTGGGGTTGGCACTGTGGACTGCTCCGTACTTTTCTCTATGTCATCTTTCTGTTGCTCTGAAATGATTGGCTGTGCTGCCACTGCCTTCTTGGTTTTCCTAGATCTTTTTCCCCTTTTCTCTGGTGCGTTGCTGTTTTCCAGGGCAGGGAGAGTCTGTTGACCTGGGAACACAACATACTTTTGTTTATATGGTGGGATCCTTTTACTCCTTTCATTCATGACTATACAGTGTATGTACCTTAACCCAAACCAAAATAAAATAATGTCAATATAGGAAATTGTCGAATAAATTTTATTAACTAGTATCTATTTTCCTATAATTCAGATTTTAGAAAACTACTAAGCTTTGTCTTGAACATTATCCTTTATTACTACTTGGAAAAACCCTCAAACTTATAAAAAGTTGCAAAAATAGTACAGAGATCATCAGAATAACCTTTACCCACTGAGTAAATAAACTTTGCTTCTTATAAAAAAAAAAAAAGAATCCTTTATTCCATTTCACTTCTCAGCATTCTCATTTGCTTTATCATTTGCACTCTTCATAAATGTGAATGCACATACATATATATGCACAAAGTTTTTCAGTCATTTAATGGAGGTTGCAAACATCAGTGTCTTTCATTCCTAAATACTCAAGTTCCTAAAATTACAGAGTGCTTCCTTAGCACGTCCAAGGCCCTGGTTTAATGCCCATTTCAGAAAAAGAATATAAATATACCCTGTTGGGCTTGGTGGCATACATCTGTAATTCCAGCTACAGTGGAGGCTGACAAAGGAGAAGTTCAAGCTTAAGGCCATGGTGTGCAATTTAGCCAGACTTTCTATCAAAATAACCTTGCTATGGACCAGGGCTTTAGCTCAGTGGCACTGCGCCTGCCTCCCAAGCACAAGGTCCTGAGTTTGATCCCCTGTACTGAAAAATAAAATAAGTTTGCTTACCTAGCATGCCCAAGGCTGTGGTTTCCACCTCCAGTACCAGGATAAAAAGAGAAGGGTATGAAACCAGTCTTCCCTTGTCTTTTTTTTTTTTTTTTTACTGTTAGATTTGTGTTATATTTTTACAATTAAGATTTGTGTTATATTTTCTGGACTAGGATAGTTTATATGATATTGTGCCCTTTTCAGAGTATCACAGCAAGGCATATAATGTCCATCTGTCCCTCATTGTTGACATTAGTTTTGATCGCCCAAGTCAAGATTCTATCTAATTTTTTCACTATATCCTTTATTTTCCCTTTGTAATAAGCAGTCTTTAGGAGATACTCTTAAGAAAAGATGGGCCGGGGATTTAGCTCAGTGGTTTCGCCGCCTGCTGCGCAAGCGCAAGGACCCGAGTTCAATCCCCGGTACCAAAAAAAACCACTTTATTTTAGACTTAACATGTTATTTGATTCTTTCAGTATGTTATTTTAATATGTTGTTTGATTCCAATCTCTACCACGTTGTTGCAGACTGGTGATTTTCCAGCCAGGCATAGTGGCACACACCTGTAAACCTACCACATGGCAGGCTGAAGGAGGAGGATCACAGCTCAGAGTCAGTCTCAACTGTGTAGCAAGACCCTGCCTCAAATAAACAAAACAAAAAGGGGACTTTCTGTCACCAGCACTCCCTGCTCATTCACCAGTCACCCACTGGCATTCTGCTGTAAGCAAGGACTCTCCTTTCTCTCCCACTTACTTATCTGTTGCTGGTAGAGCATTCCTACCTTTTCTGTGTTTTTAATTCATTCCTGTACTTTTGATGCTTGGATTATCCTGGACTTAATGAGTGGCAGCTCCTTTCTACTGGCTTCTATACTCTTGGGCCATGTCCCATCTTTTAGTTTACTTGAGGCTTGCACTTTGTCACATAGTAAACATACCTCATCTTGTACCTACATCTGCTGTTACTCCCTATTGAGCACTGCTCCTAAACCACACTAAATGGCAAACGGTTAGCCCACAGCTCCAGCACTAGGCAAATTCCAGAGGCAGAAGAAAGACCAAGCTCTGTGCTTTTATCACCCTAACTTTCAAATAACCAGGAACTGGGCTAAGAACCACTGAACTGGCGGCAACTGCTTCAAAAGAATACTAAGACTAGAGAGCCAGGCACGGTGTTGCCACACCTGTAATGCCAGCATTCAGGAAGGCTGAGGCACAGGATAGCGAGTTATAGGCCAATTTCGGCCACATACTGAGTTCCTGCACATCCCAAGCTACAGTAACAAGATCCTGTCTCAGACAGGGTTGGGGATGTAGTTTAGCGGTCCCCTGGGTTGAGTCCCCAGTACTCCCCTCCAAATACAATTAGATTCCCGAACCTTAGAAAAAGAATTTAAGAAATTATTGAATATTTAATTGCTTAAATATTAGTTACTTAACAGTTCCTAGAATAATTCCTTAATAATGTAAGTAAAATAATTTTATTTTTATGTAGAATAGAATACCTCAAGTTTTGTTTCAGGTTTTTTTTTCTTCCAGGTTGAAGAAATTAGGCAAGAGGTGTGCTTAACTTGTAAGAATCCATTGTCTGTAATCTCTCCACCCTTCAACTCCTGGCTATCTCCTCATGAGTTAACGCTTGTGCTGCTTACATGTATTAAAGCAATAAAACTTTCTTATTTCCATTATTCTTTTTTTTTTCTGGTACTGGGGATCAAACTCAGGACCTTGCACTTATGAGGCAGGGGGTGACCACTAAGCTAAATTCCCAGCCCTCCATTATTCTTGATGTCCCATGACTTTGAAGAAATAGCTAGGTTTTATGTATTTCTCTTATTTTTCAACCTTTAAACTTTTTTGCAAAAAGCTTCAGTTTTCTAAATATCAATGTTTTATTTATTGCTTTTTTATTTTTAATTTGCTCTTTGTTCATACTTTTTAAGGGTTACTATAATGAAAGACAAGATACGAGGAAGAGTAAAGGGGGTTGCATTTATATTATTTTTGGATAAAGACTGCTCAAAACTGCACCAGAGCCATAAATAACAAACAGGTAAGCCATTCATTTGCATCTGTTTCTTTTTAAATCCCAAAAGCCTTTTGCTCATTCAGACCAAAAAATGTGGAAATACAGGAGCTGATCAGACATGATGAATATCATTAGATTCAGAGAATATCTTACTTATGTCAAAGTTGTACTGGGTTCTCAAAACACTGGCAGAATGTAAGAAAAGTAATACAGGATAGACTATCAGACATAAGTAGGAAAATTGCTAAATTAACCCACCCCAGAAATGCAATTGAAAGTTTGTGGAAATAGAATCAAATTGCTGGATTGATTGTTTGATTTATTGGTACCGGGGATTGAACTCAGGTCCTTGAGCTTGCGCGGCAGGTGGTGAAACCACTGAGCTAAATCCCTGGCCCAAATTGCTGGTTTTAGATTCCAGTGAAATACAACCTTCTGCATTTACATTTTTCTCTGGTTTAGTTATTTGGTAGAGTGATAAAGGCAAGCATTGCTGTTGACAATGGGAGAGCAGCTGAATTCATCCGAAGGCGAAATTACTTAAGCGTTTTCAATGTGGGGTGAGTACACCTGAAGCTTTGTGAAATCTTCTGTACAGTTGTTTCTTTTAAGGTAGTTTCCACACCAGTCTTTTATTGGTGCCCACCAGAATTTCAGGCGGGCTGTAACCAGGTGATGAAAGTTATTTTACTTAGAGACTCATCTAAGTAAAGCTTAACTGAAAGGTATCAATCCCAGCCAAATGGAAGGATGAGGCAGGAGAATTCAAGTTTGACACCAGCCTATGCAACTTGGCAAGATCCTGTCTCAGAAAGTAAAAGGTGGGTGTGTAGCTCAGTAGTAAAGATTCGTAGAACTTAATCCCTAGTTCTAGAAAAGAGAGAGAGAGAACAGACAGAGCAAAGAAAACAGAATGAAATGAAAGATAACCTGGAGCTGGCAAGGTAGCTCAGTGGTAGAGAAGTCCCCTAGCATGCTGAGGCTGAGGGTTTAATCTCCAGGACTGCCAAAAACCAACTTGGGTTATTTTAGGTAAATCCAGAGATGTTTTTCTCTAGTTTCTAAATCTTTAAAACTGTTCCTTATTCACTTCAGTGCTGGGAAGGTTTTAATGACTCATCTATTTCTGTTACGCTCGCTGTTTCTGTAACATTTGGGCAGTGGCCAGCATCACAGTTCAGTACCATTATCATCTGTCCCATCCTCTATGAGATATTATGAATTGAATTTTTGTTGTTGATGTGCATTCTCACTATGTTGCCCAGGCAGATCTTAAACTCAAGGGCTCAAGTGATCCTCCTGCCTCAGGCTGTTAATCTAGTGGGACTACAGGCATATGACATAGCAACTATTCGTGAAATGCCTCTCCTAAATACATTCTCACTACAGTTCAATTAAGGATAAATAACAACACTTGTGTTCATGTTACATGGCCTGTGGTCTATTTGCCACTTTGTCGAATATAAGTTTTTTGTTGTTGTTTTGATTTGGGGTTTTTCTTTGTTTTTTTCTTGTTTTTCTTTTTTTTGCAGTACTGAGGAATGAACTCAGAGCCTTCACACTAAGACACTACATGTCCAACCTGTTTTTTATTTTTAGTTAGGGTCTTACTGAGATTCCACACTAAGTTCAAATTCGAAAGCCTCCTGCCTCAGCCTCCTAGAATGCTGGAATTACATCTGAGTGCTATTACCCACACACAACTCTTAACAAATTATTCTTAAATGTATTTTTGTGAGGTAATATAGAGATTATATTCAGAGTTACAGTCTAGTTCATTCCTATCAGATACAAGTATTATATAAGCTATAAGTATGATTATCAATTTTCAGCCACATTAAAAAAAACAAACAGTTGGCAAAGAATACAGCTCACTATTCTTATATAGTGGGTTTAATCCTTAGTAAAATACACAAGAAAAGGTAAAAATTAGTAACATACTAGTATTTTTTACTTAACCCAATATATGTCAAAAATAATATCCAATAGCCAGGTGTAATCCCAGCACTCTAGGGGGCTGAGACAGGAGGAACTTATGTTGAGGCCCAGCCTGACCAATTTAGTAACTTAATAAAATTCTGTCTCAGAATAAAAAAGGATTATGGATATAGCTCAGTGTGGAGGCCCAGGATTCAATCCCAAGTACCACCAAAACAACAAACAAAAACTATGACGACAAATACCTTCTAAATTAATATACACAAGGTTTTTTGGTAGTGTTTTTAGACAGTGCCTCACGACGTACATCACGCTGGCCTTGAATTCACTTGTAGCTCAAGCTGTCAATGAACTCTAGGCAATCCTCTGGCCTTAGCCTCCCAAGTCCTGGGACTGCAGGTGTGAGCAACCAGGCCCAGCTGCTGTCTAATTATTGGGAGTCATAAAATAACACTCTTCCTTCTAAAAGTTGATTTTATCATTAATCCATTTTGTATATCCCCAGTTTGAGAATATTCTTTTCTAAATTCTGAAAGCTTGTAGTTGCAGAATTCCAGACAAGTTAATAACAGTAACAAATACAGTATCTTTCCTTTCCTCTTCAATGCTCACCAAAAGGAAAGTGGACACTTAAGTTATGCCTGTCCAAACAACATGCTCGGAGAAAGTGAGCCTCCAAAGAAGAAAGAAAAAAAGAAGAAAAAGAAAATTGCTGAACCGGAAGAAATGTGAGTAATCTGCTCTCACTGAGTACCTCACCATTGGCTTCTGTCTTTAACGCTGGCTGATTACCTTCTGCTGTTTCTCCTCAAGTGTGGTAGTGAGGACATAGCAGAAAGTGAAGACGAAGGGGAAGACCTTCGAATAGTGCATATAGCTCTGGGTTCCATCCCCATTTCTACACACATGCAAACATTGCCTGGGATGATTTTGAGCAACACAGTGCTGGGGACCAGGTGTGGGTCACGGGGAGGATATCTTGTTGTCTGTGTGGCCTAGGAGGGTGGGAATCCCTGGTGTTCCTGTTGACTTCACCATGCAGGAATTAATCTACCCTAAATCAAACCTTGGTTTGATTTTGTTTTCTGAATCCCATTCCAGCAAGCCAAGATTGAAGAACAGAACAAATGGAAACCCAGTGCAGCAGGCCCCTCCACATCAGAGGATTCACGGCGCCCAAGGATAAAGAAGAGCACATACACTTCAGTGATGAGGAAGAATTTAGAGTTGTATAATGTAGATGTCAGGAAAATTAAAAAACATCTGCAGTACAAATTATTTGCATATAAGAACACTTAGGACCAAATAGTAATTTTTTACCATAAAACAGTGCTTAAAAGATGAAAAATAACCTTTTAAATTATCATGTTTCGAGCTAGGTGTGGTGACATACTCCTGTAATCCCAGCACTCTGGAGGCTGAGGCAGGAGGACTGCAGGTTAAAGCCCACCTTGGGCAACTTAGCCCTGCCTCAAAATAAAAGATAATTTTAAAAGTTACACTGAGGATATAGCTCAGTGTGAAGGTCTTGGATTCAATTCCCCATGTAGAAAAAAAGATATTTCTACCTTGCCTTAGAATACTATAGACTTAACATCTCTAATCCAAAAATCCAGAATGCTCAAGTGGAAAATTCCACACCATGCAACTATGATTCACAGGCAACATGAAAACTACTGTATCCAATTGCCTTCAGGTTATGTACAGAAGGCATTTATGAAGCGTAAGTGAAACTCATGCTTAGACTGATATTCCATCCAAAACATATCACGTTCTGTATATGTACATATTCCAAAATACTTCTGGTATGAATCTTTTTGTTTGGTTTGGTTATGAGACAGGGTCTTCCTATGTAGTTCAGGCTGGCCTTGAACTCGCTATGTCGTAACCCAGGCTAGCCTCAAATTAAAAGGGATCCTCCTGCTTCAGCCTCCGAAGTACTGGGATTAGGAGAGTACCACTGCACCTGGCTGTTCCCAAGTATTTGGGAAAAGGGATACTCTGCCTGTACTAAAACTCAGGATTTGTTAGTAGTAATCAAACTTGAAAAGAACTAATTTTAATAAAAACAAAAATACTACAATGGTAATGCTTTTTTATCCCATAAAAAGGTAGGTATTAAAATTTGAAAACTTTACTGTAAATGCTTAGTCATGTCTCACTGGTTTATAAGTACTTCTGAAATAAATTCAATCTTTAAAACAAAAACTTCATATGAACTGAAAAAATAAGGGGTTTAATAGTACTGTCAATAAACTTCAAAAAGATGTTGTCTTTAAATATGGGTGCTTCATCATCTTACTTCTTTCAGCTTTCTCCCAGTCTACATGTATGTAAGTTATAAATATCCATAAAATAGCCAGCGTGGGGACGCACACCTGAAATCCCAGCACTGCGAGGCTGAGACAGGAGGGTGCCATGAATTCTAGGCCAGCTTGGCCTGCACATAGAGTTCAAGGCCAGCCTGAATTACAAAGCAAAACCCTGCCTCAAAAAAACAAAAAAGTTCTGCCGCCTGCCTCGCAAGCACAAGGACCCGAGTTCGATATCCGGTACCAAAAAAAAACAAAAAGAAACGAGGAAAAAAAAAATACGTAAAGTATGAAGTAGCTCTAAAAGGCTTAAAGCCAAATGGGACATACCTATCTACTTTGTCTGTAATACCAAATTTTGTTTCCAGAAGCAACTACTTTCCATTACTGTTTTATATATATGCACTCCAATAAAATGCCTAAATTTCTATCAACTGATAAAAGGATAAAGGAGGATTTTCGAACCCATCATAATGCCCCCATTGCCTTACTCCACCTCCCAAAGGTGGCTATGTTAAAATTTCAATTAGGGCTGGGGATTTAGCTCAGTGGTTCTGCTGCCTGCCTGGGAAACACAAGGTCCTGAGTTCGATCCCCGGAACCAAAAGAAAAAAAAAATTTTTTTTCCAATTAAATCCATATTTATTATTTCTGTTTTTTGTAAACGATCTTGTAAGTTTTTCATATATTTATTAACGTTTCTTTGTATGTTATGAATAAATCTTCCTGTAATTCTGTGGTTGGTTATATAAGAGGGATTGTGGAGTCTTTAATTTTCTACTTTGTATATTTCCGTACAGTTTAATGCTTTGTAAGAACACCTACATTTGCCTTTTTAATTACTAAAAGCAATAAAATATTTCCACTTTGAAACTGCAAAGCAGTGAAAAAGTTAACCACCCCACTGACATCGACTCTTCCAAATTTCAACAGGGAAACCAGACAGAATAACTGAATGCAGTACTCTTCTTTCCTTCACCTATTAAGTTACATACTCTGAAAAGCAAAGAAAAATTCTGTCTTCCATAAAACACAAGTTTTCCTAAATTCCTCAAAACAGGCTCAAATAGAAAATGGGCTAGGGCCGGGGATTTAGCTCAGTGGTTCTGCTGCCTGCCTCACAAGTGCAAGGACCCAAGTTCGATCCCCAGTAACAAAAAGAAAAAAAGAAAATGAGCTAGTGCCATAAACACAGTAAATACTAGATAATAATGAATTTTTTCTTGGGGTACTGGGAATTGAACCCAGACCCTTGTGGATGCTAGGTTAGCATCTATCCCTGAGCAGTATCCCCAGCCCCTATTTAATTTTACACATGGTCTCACTGAGTGAGGCTGCCTTCAAACTCCTGGGTTAAAACAATCCTCCCTCAGTTTCCCAGTAGCTGGGATTACATGAATGTGTCACCATGTCTGGCCATGACAAATGTTTCTATTATTGTTGAAAAAAACTGCAGGCATTGTGTTGCACCACTGTAATGACACCTCTTGGGAGGCTGAGGCAAGAGGATCTCAGCAAGTGTGAAGCCAGCCTGGCCTACATAGTAACTTTTAGCCTATACAATAGCAAGATCCTGTCACAACTCTCCACGGGCACACAAGATAGAAAACTGTCAATTAGAAAATGAAAATGTATCAGTGTTGTCTCAGTCACTCTCCTTGTGGCTGGGACAGAAACTCAACCCTATTTGGGCTCATGTTTTAGACGTCTGAGTCCTTTGTGTGGTTGGGCAAGGTGGAAAGGCCTGGGCCAAGAATAGCTGCTCACCTCAGGGCAGCCAGGACTCAGAGCCCACAGGGATGAGCGTGACCGACCCTGCTGAATAAAGATCAACCAGAAACACAGGAAGCAGGAGGAAGACAGAGGCCCTGATCCAGGAAATCAGTGTGGAAGAAGAAACTTGGGGAAAGCTGGTGTTACAAACGGGAAGGATCCGCTGGGCTGGGCCAGTCTGCAGGTCAGCACTCTGACCCACCAGGAAGCCACCTGGAGAATTTCTCGAATGGGGGGGAACCGGGGACAGCAGACCTGGCCTCCCAGGATACACCTGGGTGCACAGCCCTGCCCCACCATCCGCTCCCCAACACTAAGGAGCCCGCAGCCCCAGCCCGCAGCGTCTTCCCCACCAGCAACTGCAGCACACGGGCTTCTTCCCCAAGTGCCCCTTTCCCACGCACCAAGCTCAGGCTGCACGTGGAGAGACAGGCAAACTCTGCTCGTGAACGGCACCCCGAGTCAGCGCCGAGCGCCTCTTGTTTGGAGGAACCCATCTGGGACACAGCTCACACGGGTCCCCTCTGAGCCGGTGCCTAGCACTCTGAGATCCCGTGTGCTCCCACCCAGCGCTCACTGCCTGCACCCCTCGAGACCTAGTCTGACGTCCAGCACCCATCCTGGGCAGCCTGGTCTCCACAGGAGCCCCTGTCCCGTGCGTCTCCATATGGTGCCCAGGCATTCCCGAACCCTCTCCATGCCCGGCGCCCTGCCCCACCCTGGGCACATCAGAAGCTCCGTATATGGCACCTCGCTACAGTCTGAGCAGAGTCTCTACCGGCCACTAGACCAGACCACTGCCTGCTCTGCAGTAACAGTTGAAAGTCTGCCTGGACACCCGTGAGAACCTACTCAGCACCCCGCACCCTCCCTGGGCCACCACAATCTCCCCACATCCGTCTGTGGCATACTGCGGTCTCCACAGGGCCCCACCTGGTGCTCTGAGCCGGTCACAAGGACCCGGGAATATTATACACTAGGTACCCAGCATTGGGCCCCAACCAGTAGGAATCCTTGCCTAGAGCCTCAGGATCCACCACCCCACGCCTTGCCTGTACGTGTGTCCCCGCTTTAGCAGTTCCCACACGCGGGTTTACACACAGAGGTGTTGTGGCAAAGTGGAACAGCTCAGTGCTATATGCCCGTGTTACAACTCAGTGGCACGGCCAAGTATTACAGAGCTCAGTGTTAAAGCTCTCTCGATTGCAGCTAACACAATTTGAAGACTCTAGAACCCAAAATTCATTCAGAGAGGTGGAGAAAAACCTTTTATTATGGCAGCAGGCTCAGAAGAGTTCGTCCTCCAAAGTCTGAGCACTTTACCAGCAATGGGAGCCTCCTTATATAGGGATCTAGGGGTAGGCGAGCATGCTCACTGATGCAGGGCGGGCGGACTTACAGAGCATTCCTGAATGACACTGCTAGAGAGCATGCTCACAGGAGCAGAGGAGCAAAGTTAACAGAACATTCTTGAAAGGGGCATTCCTGTAAGGGGGTGGGGCTAACAACATTCTTGAGAAGTCACCCAGTTCAAACAGTTACAAAACATTTTGGGGCGGGGATTTAGCTCAGTTGGTTCCACCGCCTGCCTCGCAAGCAGAAGGTCCCGAGTTCGATCCCTGGCACCAAAAAAAACATTTTTAAACGTTGAGCCTGAGCACTACCCAGCACAAACTGTTACATTTCTGGAATAAAACATTTTGTGGGAAAAAACATGGAACCAAGGCAAGGGCCTGTTTTATTGTGTATTACTGCTCTATCAGAGATCTCCACACAAGCAGGACTGTGACTTGTGGGATGGAAGACAGAGCCTCTGGGAGAAAGACGCGCTTCTGGAAATATAGAAGAATTTTTCTTTCCTTTTTTTCCCCACACTTTGTTTGACCCAGGTTTTTTCTTCTTTCTCTTCTATTTTTTTTTTAAAATTTTCTTTTGGTAGAGTTTGGAGTTTTATCACTTTTTCTTGTTCCCCCTCTTAAGTATTACATTGTTTTATTTGTTTAAATTGCCCCCCCCCTTTTATCTCTCTTGTTTCCTTAACATTTCCTCAATTTGTTTCCTTAATATTTTTTCCTTGGCCTGGGGATTTAGCTCAGTGGTTCTGGCGCCTGCCTCAAAAGCGCAAGGTCCCGAGTTTGATCCCCAGTACCAAAAAAATAAAATAAAATAAAATAAAATATTTTTTCCTTTTTTTCCCCCTTTAGTTTAATCTCTATTCCTTATTATTTATCCTTTTCTTGGTTGGTATTTTCTGTTACTGCTATCTACTACTACTAATTTTATTTTACTGCTTACTATGATCTTTTGTGTCGCTCTTACTACACGGATAGAAACCCATAGGTAGTGGAAAAGGAGGGGAACCCCCCCCCGCCCCAAGGAGTTTAGACAGATGGAGAAGTTTAAACAGGCTTAACCACTGCAAAGAGCGGACAGCTGTGGTCACACTTCCTCTGTATGCTGTACCCTGAAAAGCTTAGTTTGCTAAAGTTAAAGGAAGAAAGGGAACCTGACCCTAGAGTGTGAAAAGCCCCCAAAGACCCTTCCCCATCCTCCCTAATAACAAGTCAATCAACCAATCAAGTAGGGGCGCCCTCAGCCCAGAGACGGGATAGGCCCCCAGCTACTATAAGGTCAACACCTTAAGCCCACCTTCAATAGTGGCTCCGTTTCGGGCACCGCTGCCTGTCTCCCTGAGAGAAGGCAGCTGTACTCTTGCATGCTTGCTGAACTGAAAATACAAACTTTGCTTCTAGGCTTTCAATTTCTATCTTATTCTTCCACAACCTTCTGAGTTATTGGGAGAGTCAGGACTGCAGAAGACTCTCCACCAGTGTCCACCGTGACATACCACCTGCTTCCTATCTTCCATGGCTTAATTTTTCAAAATCTGATTTCTTTCTTTCTTTTTTCCTGAGGTTCTCAAGCCCACATCTTTTTGTGTGTGTGTGTGTGCCAGGGATCGAACTCGGGACCTTGTGCTTGCTAGGCAGGCGCCTGAACCACTGAGCTAAATCCCCGGGCGCAAGCCCACATCTTATGGTGAAACTATTTACACTTATAAATCTGTAGATAGCTATGTATACCTTACTGCAGTTGAACACTGTTCTATTCTGGACTTAGGTAAAATTGCTCTGTTGAGTAGACAGCTACTGTATATAAAGGTATGATTTGTCTTAGAATTAGTACTATAACTATGGATCTCCTTCCTATGGTTAAAGGTGGTACAGTGTTAGTTATTATAATTTGTAGTTATCTTGTTTGTTTTTGCTGCTATTGTTGCTGTTCATTTTGCTACTTTAACTAAGGGTGACACAGTTGTTGCTATCAATTAAGCTCCTGTTAGATGGGTGTGGTGGCACACACCTGTAATCCCAGCACTTAGGAGGCTGAAGTAGGATTGTTCTGAGTTTAGGGCCAGCCTGATCTACAAGGTGAGACCCTGTCTCAAAAAAAAAAAAAAAAAGACCTCTGTATCTGGGGATCATAAACAAAACTAAAGTCTAATACCAAAGCACTGGGCATAGGACCAGTTATGCTGCAATATTCCTCCCTTATAAATGGGGGTGGTTGGATCCTGGGACAGACCTAAAGGCCAATAGGTAGTACCTAGAAGACATCTATGAAAAGTAGACATTACCTTGAGGTCTCAATACTACCAATAAAGCTACCCAGGGCCGGGGATTTAGCTCAGTGGTTTCGCTGCCTGCTGTGCAAGCACAAGGACCGAGTTCAATCCCTGGTAACAAAAAAATAAAAAAATAAAGCTACCCACCATAAGCAATCTGCAAGCCTCCATACAGAAAACAGAGAGAGAGAGAGAGAGAGAGAGAAAACACATAACCAAAATGCCCCCCCAAAAGCTCCTAACTCCCCCATGGCAAACTGAGGGGGCAGTAAAGGGGAAGACATCCAAAGCCACGTGACTGAAATACTTGAAATGGTAGCAGTGGAAGTAACAAAACAGATCAATAAGA